GGAGTGTCCCCCATTTAGTGACGTGTTTTCTTCCTGGCTGAGCCTCAACTCTGTTCCCCTCCTGGCTTCACCAACAGAGGAGAGGGTGCTTCGCTGTGCAGGTCTGCATCAAAGTGCTGCAGAGTTGGCGTAGGAATCCAGTCATGACCTTGGGAGGTGTGAGCTTGTCCCTTCTATCAGCTCATCAGTTTTTCCTTCCTTGGCTGTAAGATTTAGCATCAACAAATTCCAGCCTACGCTCACAATGGTTAAATATTTACCAACCCTGCCTTTTTGTGGGTGATAGTCAATCTTTAGGAATGCTTTAGACTGGCCCTCTCCAAGCAAAGTCACTGCCTCAGAAGGGAGAAAGGCAAGAAATGCAAGCTTGGTGTTCTCCTGGTCACCAAACCTGCAGCTCTGTGCTCTCCCTCCAACACTCCTGATGATTTCTTAATTTTTGGCTTGTATAGCAGAACATCTGAGAGGGGAGGACTCATATCACATATGTTTCTGTGTCTTGTAGCCCAGGTGGTGCGAAAATGGAATAAATGTGCAGAGGTTGACTGGTGAGAGATGCTCTTAGAAGATTATACATCTGCTACAATCCTGTTTTAGTAATTAATTGTACTGTTTATTTTTTCTTGGGAAGTTGTCTATGCTCTATAATGCATACTTACATATTTAGTGAGCAACAGGTATTATTATGCTTTTCTTAGTTTGTGGGCTCAGGAATCATGTGACTAATGCATCTTTCCCTCTTTGGTTTGACTACCAGGAAGCTCAAAGGGATGCATTTTATGGTTTGCCTGTTCTGAGCCTGAATGTTGGGTCTCTGTTTTGCTTTGTTGGGTGACTCTAGTGTCCTCATGGCTGTGGCTCATTGTGAGCACTCAGTTAATGAGGGCTCTATTTTGGGTCTCAGCCATCAATGCTGATACCTGTTTGCTTAGAAGGGCCTGAGGAGCCTGGGCCATCTCCTCAGCAGCCTTCAGCTTATCCTGAGGACTGCCACCGTCAAATCACACTGCCCTGTGTTGTATCTCTCCTCACAGTGCTCTCCATGGCCTGATGTGGCCTACCAAGTGAACAGTGCTCCATCCCCAAGTTATAATGGCTCTCCCAACAGCTTTGGCCTCGGTGAAGGGTACGTCCAACCTTCCTCTCTTCGGGGTCCCAGCATGGCAGAGGGGTAAAGATACCTTTTTGATCCTCGTTCATTCCATGCCCTAGTATCTGAGTTTTAGTGTACTAACTGGTTTAGTGGCCATAGCCATATTTTCTTATTCCTTCCTAGCTTCCCTTGCTGGGGATGGAATCCAGAGTCCTCTACATGCTAGACAAGCTCTCTACCACTAAGCTACATTCTCAGCTCCCATATTTAGCTTTGGGTTAGTTTTTTGGGTTTGTTGGTTGGTTCGTTCATTGGTTGGTTTGTTGGTTTGGGGGGGGTTTGTTTTTGTTTTTTATGTTTTGAGACAGGGTCTCTCTGTAGCCCCAGCTAGCCTGGAACTTACTATGTAGACCAGGCTGGCCTCAGTCTCACAGACTGTGTCTGCCTCCCGAGTGCTGAGATTAAAGCCTGGCTAGCTTTGGGTTTTTTAGGCACGGTTGTGTTGTGCATCCAAGACTGACCTCAAACTCACTGTGTAACCAGGCTAGCCTTGAAATTACAATCTTCCTGTCTCAGCTTCCTGAGTGCTGGGGTTATAGGTGTATATCATCACACCTGGCCCATGTTTAGTTTTTATTCAGGTGTATGTGTATGTGTTTAGTTTTTTTTTTGTGTGTGTGTGTCTTCAGTATACATGTCTACAAATGACATCAAGCTTATGAGAATTTGTTTTGTAAAACTAGGACTCATCTGATCTGAAGTAGATCAGGATAGCCTTGTGGGTTGGCCTTAGGCCCCTAGAGAGTCCTCCAGAGTGCTGCATGGCCGTCCCTGGTTCTTCTAGTAGGAGCCTCTGCCCTGGGTTTCAGGGTTGGCAGTGCCCAAGCTAGTCTCATTGCATCTTGGCTGGCTCTGCAAATAGTGTCATGTGACACAGTGGTACTATGACAGGACAATGGCGACATTACAGGTAGATTCTGACTGGCAGGCTGCAATGATGCTCTGCCAGGGGGTGGAACAGAACTCCAAGCCAGGTGCCGTGGACAGGCAAATAACTCCAGCTGTGTGTGCTGCAGAGCCCCTGTTCAGCATCAAGAGACCTCTCTAATGCAAAGGAAGGTTGGGGCTGGAGATGTAGCTCAGTTGGTCACCTAGCATGTGTGAGACCCTGAGTTCCATCCCCAGGACCAAGTAGATAGGTGTGGTAGCACCTGTAATCATAGCACTAGGGAAGTTGAGAAAGAAAGGTCAGAAAATCAAGGCTACCCTTGGCTATATAGGGAGTTCAAGACAAGCTTGAGCTGAGCTCCTGGGGAGAAAGAGGGTGGGGAAGAAAGAGAACATTTTATCATTTTCTCCATGTTTAAGCGTATAGTTTAAGTATACATTTCAGTCATTGTACACTCTGTTCTCCTGGGAGGGCTGTAGCTTGCTTTCAAAGTGTATAGCCTTCTCTTACAAGAACAAATACATAAACAAATCTGTGCCTTCCTACTGGGAAAACCTAGGTCATGTTTTTCCTCCCAAGTAGTTACCAGTCTGTGGATTCACAAATGGCCCTGTGTGCCCATCTGGCTAGAATTTGGTTGATGATTTTGGTTTGGCCCAATTACTAGAAATAGTGTGGCTTGAGTCCTGGTCAACCCACCCTTTCCCTAGGCTAGAGCTTGGTGGGTATATTAGCTTGTTTGGGGGCAAAATACTTGACAAGAATCAACCTAAGGAAGGGATTATTTCAGCTTACACTTTAGGAAGATACAGTTTACCATGGTGGGAAAGTGTGGCTGCAGGATCTTGAGGCATCAGGTTTCATCCACAATCAGGAAGCAGAGAGAGATGAATGCTGGTTCTCAGCTTGCTTTTTTCTTTTTATTCAGTCCAGGACCCCAGTCCATGGAATGGTCCTGGCCACATTTAGGGTGGGTCTTCCCAACTCAATTAACCTGGTCTAGAAAATCCTGCCCAGACATGCTCAGAGGTTAGTTTCTATGGTGATTCTAAATCCCATCAAGGTCAAGGTGACAATCAAGATTCACCATCACAGGGGGGAAACTCCACCACACAGTAAAAGATCAGATCATGACCCACCGTGCCTTGGTTGTTGTGCCTGACTACTCAGGTAGATGGCTATTGTTGGCTGGGATGGCATTGCCCACCAGAACCTCCTGCTCACAGTGACAGCTGAGTTCAGGAAACATTATGAGGGACTGGTCATTGGCTCTCTTGTCTGATTCAGACTGTCCTCTAGGACTCATTTAAAGCAACTCTCACACCTGATGACACATAGGCACTGCTGAGATGCTGGAACCATTTGTGTGTCCCAGAAACCCTCAAGTGCCTCACCTGTTTCTTTTCCTTCACAGCAACAGTTCACCTACCCACCCAGTGGAGCCTCTGCCTCTGGGCAATGATGTAAGTGTGCATGGGCTGATGGGCTGGTGGTCCCTTGGGCTCCATGGCTGTCCTGAGCCTCCCCTTTCTGTCTTTGGCAGCACCTGCTCCCATCAGCCTCCATCCAGGATGCCCAACAGTGGCTGCATCGCAACCGCTTCTCACAGTTTTGTCGGCTCTTCGCCAGCTTCTCGGGTGAGAATCTAAGAGTAGGTTTGAAATCCACAGTAGTCCAGACCTGCCATTGGTCCTATGGGGCTGTGCCTATGTCCAGGGAATCTACAGTGGCATGGGTTTTTACTCTCTTCTATGTACTAGCCTCAGGCCAAATGCTAGAGATGAGAGACACTGGCAGTATGGCATATGGCCCTAGACAGTCACCATTAAGTAAGACTTGAAGGGCTGTTTGGGTGACAATGTGCTGATCCTCTTACCTGCAGGGATGGCTGGGCTCTGGCCTGCCCAGGTAGGGCTCTATATTATAAGTTACTTTTCTCCCTGATGTGACAGAACACCTGATTAAAGCAACTTAAAGAAGGAAGGGCTCGTTTTGGCTCACAGCTTGATGGTAGTCCCCACAGTTCGGAGAAGGCATGATGGCAACAGTGTGAGACAACTGGTCACATTGCATCCCTTGTCAGGAAGCAGAGAGAGGAGTATTGCTTCCCAGCTCACTTTCTCCCCTTTATTCAGTCCAGGACCCCCCCCACACACACACACACACATGAGATAGTACTCCCCACAGTTAGGCTGAGTCTTCCTACTTCAATTAATCCAATCTAGAAGCTCCCTTGCAGATAGGCTCAGTGATTTGTCTCCTGGTGATTTTAGATCCTGTCAAGTTGATGATCCATATTAGTCATCACAGACCCTCTTAGCCAGTCAGAGGGATATGCACCTTGCATATGGATATTGTACTTTTCCTGCCTTCCCCTTGTCTCCAGAGCCATCACCTGGGGTTGGAGTTGAAGCCATAGGAGGGACAGGAAAACTGCTCTCCCTCCTTTGAAAGGTTTCTGAAGGTTTGGCTGAGGGAGGGCCACTAAGGGTGCCAGTAATAAAGTTCCCACCCAATTAGAAAAGGAGTTGTCAAGGTCATCTGCAGCAATGGGAGAAAATGAGCCTCTGGTCACCTCAGCAATGTCTCTAAGAGCTTTCTTTTTCTTTTTCTTTCTTTCTTTTTTTGTTTTTTGTTTTTTGTTTCTTGAGACAGGGTTTCCCTGTAGTCCCAGCTGGCCTGGAACTTGCTGTATAGAGCAGGCTGGCCTCGAACTCACAGAGGTCTCCTACCTCTGCCTCCCAAGTGCTGGGATTAAAGGCGTGCACCAATATGCCTGGCTTCCAAGAGCCTTCTTGATGGAAGGCAGAAGGAACAAGGATGATTGGGGATCTTGTGTCACTGTGGGAACTGGCTACTTTAGTGCATTTTGACCTGCTGGGGATTGGGAGTGCTCAGAGAGGCCCCTGACCTATGCTGGGGGAGGGAGAGGAGAGGGAGGCTTCCCCAGGTAGTGTCCTTAAGCAAAGGCTAGAGAGGAAGGGAGGGAGGGGGGACAGTGAGCAGTGGGGAAGAGCTCTGCATGCTGCCTTCTCAACTGTGCTGCCTGGTGTGATCACAGGACAGAGGACCACAGGGAGTGGAGCAGAGTGAACCAGGGAGGCAGTGAGGTCAGGTCAGCAGAGACAGGCGGCCTGAACCTTGTAGGACTATAGAAGGACTTTGGGGTTTAATTTTAATATAGCCATACTGGAGTAGTGCTTGCCTAGCATGGACAAGGCCCTAGGTTCAATTCCCAGCACCCCATAAACTGGGAGGCAAGAGGATCAGAAGTTTAAGGTCATGCTCAGCTGTATAGCACAAAGTCACCCTGGGTTACAAGAAACCATGTTTCAAAGAAAAAAAAAAAAAAGTAGGGGTCGTATGCAGGAGCCATTATGTCTGCTCCTGAGACCTTTGGAATAGAGAAATGGGTGATGACTCTGGCTTGTAGCATGTCCCTCCCCAAGTCCTCTGGGACATTGGGATCTAGGGGGAACCTTTGAAGATGTCACACTGCTGGCCTTCTTATTACCATTTTCTTCCTTGGGACACAATTACCTTCCTCTGCTCCTTCAGATGGAGCGGTAGGTCTGGCTGTGGCCCTTGAGAGACTGCTAGCCTTCTGTGTTGGTCTCCAGAGGGTGTTTGGATTGTCAACCTCCAGTGAGCTGTGTGCTTCTGCACAGGGACACTCACATGTGATCAGTTGCAGCACAATGCTAAAAGTCTGTACACATAGATTAGTGCTAATGAAGAGTACAGGGAGAGGTTCTGGAGAGGTGGTTCAGGGGTTAAGAGCACTTGCTGTTCTTGCAGAGGACCCGAGTTCAGTTCCTAACACCCACATCAAGTGGCTCACAGCTGCCTGTAACTCTAGCTCCAGGGGATTCAATGCCTTCTTCTGGCCTCTGCAAGTACTCATATGCATGTGCATGCACACACACACACACACTAAAATAACATTAAAAAAATTAAATACATAAAAGGAGCTGGAGAGATGGCTCAGTGGTTAAGAGCACTGACTTTTCTTGCAGAGGAGCCAAGTTTGATTCCTGGCACTCACATGGTAACTAACAACAGTCCATAACTCCAGTTATCTGACACCCTCTTCGCCTCCATGGACTCTGCATGCCGTGGTGCACTTACATATGTGCAGACAAAACACTCATACACATAAATAAAAATAAGTAAATAAAAAAAATTCAGAGAGGTGCCATCAGGACAGGTGGGGTGGTCTTACTGGCCTCTATTTCTTCCTGAGCACACTAGCTTTAAACCTGGACATCTCTAGCTATGATCCCCTAGGGTTGCCTAACTCTATGGCATTTCTCTCCATGGACAGTCTAGTACCCACTGAGGGTAAGCTAACCCTTCAGTGGTGTGGGGGATCTCCAGCGTATGTGCCATGTAACCAGCAGCCCATGTCCCCACCTAGGTGCTGACCTGCTGAAGATGTCTAGAGATGATTTGGTCCAAGTCTGTGGCCCTGCAGATGGGATCCGGCTCTTCAATGCCATCAAAGGCAGGTGGGTGTTGGCTTCTTAGGGAAGCTAGCTGGAGGCCGTGTACACTGGGCTGTGTATGTCAAGAAGCCCCACCTTGCCTCTCAAGCTGTGGGTGGGCCAGCTGGCAGGACTAGGAATCTTTCCTGCAGCATGGGGGTAAATTCAGGAGGAAGTGCAGGGAGGGATGAGTCAATGAGTGAGGTGCCCTGTTGGGAGACCATGCCAGCACTCAGCTGCTGTGGTCCTTGCTCAGGAATCTCCGCATTGGTTACTTTTCTCATTGTTGGGACAAGATGCCTGACAAAAGCAACTAAAGGAAAAAAGGGTTTATTTTGGCTCACAGTTTGAGGGCACAGTCCATCATGAGAGGGAAGGCATAGTGCCAGGAGCGAGCATGAGGCAGCTGGTCACATCATATCTGCAGTCAGGAAGCAGAGAGATGAACGCTGGTGCTCAGCTCGCTGTCTCTTTTTTTATATAGCCTGGGACCCTAGCCCATGTGTGAGACCCACATTTAGGGTAGGTCTTCCCCCCTCAGTTAACCCAATCTAGAAACTCTCATAGTTTGTCTCCTCGGTGATTCTAGATCCTGTCATAGTGACAATCAATATTAAAACTATCACACCCTCTCTCTTCTCCATTGGATCAGAGCCTGTGACTCTGGGCCCTTTGTTACTAGCCAAGACTCTAAGACACTTGAAAAGTACTGGTTCAGAACTGCCACCTCAGGATACCTGTGGCCTAGGGTGTGTAGTTTTCAAGGCAGTGCTTGCCCCAATAGAACTAACTCCCTACCACCATGGAAATGTATAGCACACTAACCAGTCTAGCACTAACTAGGCCAGAAACTGCTGGCCGTGAGGCACTTGAATCAACATCACAGTCGAACCAAAATTTTAATTTTTTTTGTTTGTTTATTGAGACAGGGTCTCCTTGTAACCCCAACTGGCTTGAAACTTACTAAGCAGACCAGGCTGGCCTCAATCTCAGAGCCATCCACCTGCCTCTGCCTCCTGAGTCCTGTAATTAAAGGCATGCACCACCATGCCTGGCCCTAAATTTTATTGACGTTTAATAAATATTGTTTTCTGGCTACTAGAAGAGAACCTGTGTGTGCCAAGCATGTATTCTTTCACTGAGCCGCCTTTCAGCCCTGAAGTTAACACTGAATAGACACTTGGGAACAGCATGATTACAGTGAGAGAGTACACATGAGGGTGAATCCCAGATGTGCCTCCTAGGAGCTGTGCAGTAGAAGAAAGATTTTTGTCCAACTGAACCTCAGTTTCCCTATCTGTGGAATGGGGATGAGTCTAGCTCCTCCATCTTGTATGGTGAGCTAAGCCAATTCTCCATGTAAAGTTTTTTCTCTGTCTCTTTTCCTCTCCCTCTTGACTAGGGATGGAAGCTAGGGTCTCACACATGCTATACCCTGTCTCATCTGTTGAGATTTTGATCTTGTATTCTGTTCTGGGCCAGAGGCCCAACTTAGCAGGCTGGGAAGTGTTGTCCACCTTCTTCCTCCAAGACAGCCTGTGTGAAGCTGTAAAGATCTATCAGGACAGGATTCTGTCCCTGACAACCTTCCATGAAAAGCATTTTGCATCTCTACCTCCATGCTGCTTTTTCCCTGAGTCCCTTCATACTGCAGGTTCCATCCTACATTCTGGAACATTTTAGAACATTCTAGAGCAGCAGTTCTTCATGTCTGCTAATTATCTCCTGTCCTTTTGCCAGAAATGTGAGGCCAAAGATGACCATCTATGTCTGTCAGGAGTTGGAGCAGAACCGAGTGCCCCTGCAGCAGAAGCAGGATGGCAATGGGGACAGCAGCCTGTGTGGTGAGTGGGGAGCAGAGCCTGCAGCCTGACTTGAGCCTGACCAACTTCTCTTTCCCAGCGTTAGTTACTTTTGTCATTGCTAAGTAACTTGAGGAAGGGTTTATTTTGGCTCACAGTTTGAAGTGATATAGTCCACCATGGTGGGGAAGGCATGGTAGTAGGATCATGAGATCACATTGTCCATATTTTGGGAGCAGAGAGTAATGAATGTGATGCTTAGCCTGCTATCTCCCTAGTCCCTGGTAACAGTAGTCTTTAAGTGTTCCTCTGATACTGGAAGCTACCCAGTGACCCCTGGAAACAGTGAGAAGACTAGAAAGGTAGAATAGCACTCCCTCTTCCCTCCAAGCAGAGTGCACATCTGGTTGCATGTCTGGATAGCTCAATGCTTCTCCAGCTATCCCCCACTCCAGGTGGGTGCCCTGGATCTGGGTGGGTCCAGGAATCAATATATGTGCCCAGGAGAGGCAGAATCAGAAAGAGCTCCCAGCCAATATATGTTTACTTGTGGGAAAGGCTCCACCTGCCTTCTCAGTGTAGGCCTTTGGGTAGGCACCGATGTCTCTGGACACCAGTATCCTTATTGGTTTCTTAGGATGGGGTGGGGACACATGCAAGTGCTTGCTAGTTTAATATTCCTTCCCCTGACAGTGTACCATGCCATCTTCCTGGAAGAGCTGACCACCCTGGAGCTGATCGAGAAGATCGCCAGCCTGTACAGCATTCCTCCCCAGCATATCCACAGGGTCTACCGGCAGGGCCCCACTGGCATCCACGTGGTGGTGAGCAACGAGGTGAGTTGTGCTACTGATGAAGCCCCCTGACTAGAGCTTTGGCCTTCCAGAAGAAGCCCCAGATCCCCACAATGGAGCATCTTCTCTGGGGTCTGGGGGTCTAGAGTTTGCTGTGCATGCTGTCTGCTTGCAGCTATAGTGGGTACCTACAGTGCTGCAAGGGGGATCCTGGCCACAGCTAGGGTTGAAGGGCTGCCCAGTTGCCCCTTTGTAACTTTTCCTTGGGGAGACAAACAAGTGACTGCTCCCCTCAAATAGGTCATCAACAACAGACCAAGGTAACACTCCTAGAACCAATTAATTTATTGGGGTTACTTATAGGAGCATAGGTGAAGGGTTTCTTATAGGAATGTGGGTGACCCCAAAGCAACCATACTGCAGAAAAGTTTCATCCCAGCATAGATGGCAGCTTCCCATAGCAATGCCCCCCTGCCCCAGTTAACCTTGCACGTAGCTGAGAGGGAGGAGTAGGAAAGAGTGACTAGAGTCTCAGATGAATAGCCAAAGATCCTCCCCACACCCTCCTTCCATGAAGGGGTATCAGCAGGCACTGTCATTAAAAAAAAAAAATTATCACATTTTTTTTAATTAATTTTTTTTTTTTTCATTTTTGAGACAGGGTCCTCACTATGTAGCTTTGGCTGGCCTAGAACTCACTACATAGACCAGGCTGGCTTTTAACTCAGTGTTTCACCTGTCTCTGCCTCCCAAGTGCTGGGCTTAAGGTATATGCCACCATGCCTAGTTGTTTGTATATAGTACACTTGTACCATGGCACATGTCTGAAGGTCAGAAGACAGTTTGCTGGAGTCTGTTCTCTTCTTCTACCTTTTGGGACCCAGGGTCAAATTCAGGTTATCAGACTTGGGGCAAATACCTTTACCTGCTCAGCCATCTTGCTGACCCAACAGACCCTTTTGAGTTTCTTGTGGCTCAGCTGGCTCTGATTAAGATGGTAATGGCTATTATGCTTTGAAGATGGCCTTCTATAGGAATCTTTGCTTGGCCCTTGGCTGGGTGCCCTTGGGACATATTCACAGTCAGGAGAATGTGGCACCCATCAAGTGGGCAGCAAGAGCCATTAGGTGAGGGGCAGCTGTGGCTCATGGGTGATGACAGCAAGGCCTTCCCTCAGTGATGGAGGTCTGCTCAGCATAAGCCCGTGGGAGGCAGAAGCAGGTGCAGAAGATCTAGGAAATAGGCAGGCCTTATTGGAACCTAGTTGCTGATGGTTGGAAGCCTTATGTTGAGTACAGACACTAAATCAGCTATGCTTCTCTTAACTAACTATGCTCATGGGAGACATTGGTTCTGTTAGGAGATGCTCTCTGATTTGGTATGGTTTAAAATGTATTTTTTAAAAGTTTTTTATTTATTTATTTATTTTTATTTAATGTTTATGAGCGTTTTGCCTGCATGTATGTAGTACACCGGTGGTGTGCAATACTGAGGGAAGAAGAGGGCATCAGATCCCCTAGAACTGAAGTTATGAATGGTTTTTAGCTGCCCTGTAGGTGCTAGGAATCAAACCCAGATCCTCTGAGAGAATAGCCAATGTTCTTGACCCCTGAGCCACCTCTCCAGCCTCCTTAAAAAGTTTTTAATTACATTTGTATTTCAGAGAAAGAGAGGGGGGGGGTAGAGGTTAGAGGAAAACTTTCAGAGTTGGTTCTCTCTACCATGTGGGACCTGGGGATTGAATATAGGTCATCAGGCTTGGTGATAAGTGCCTTTATCTGCTGAGCCATTTTGAAGTGTCCCCTCCCACCCCTTTAAAAATGGAGATAATGCCTCTCCTTGGCACCTGAAGTTCCTCAAGTTGACTGGATTGACTGGCCAGCGAGCCCTGACATCTTCCTGCTTTTACCTCTCCTGTACTGGGATTATAAGCATCCACCACAATGCCCAGACCCTTGTGTTTGCAATCCCTTTATCCTGAGCTGTCCCACCAGCCCAGAGGTATGGGTTTTAAAGCATACAACAAAGATCCAACTGAATACTTAGCTGCAACTTGATGTTTTTGTCTTCAGCTCCAAATTCTTCCAAATCACTTATTCAGTCAGATGCAGCTAACTTGTGTTTTTCTTGCTGTGAAACTCTGGCTGGCCTGGAACTTGCTATGCAAACCAGGCTGGACTCTAAGTAACAGAGATCCACTTGTCTCTGCCTCCGGAATGCTGGGATTAAAGGGGTATTACACCACATCCAATTTGTTTTGAGACAAGGTCTCATTAGAAATCCTAGCTGGTCTGAAACTTACTGTGTAGATAGGCTGGCCTTGAACTTGCTGTACTCCTTTTTACCTCAGTCTGCTGAGTACTAGGAGTATGCCGCAGGAGTATGCCACAGGCCCAGATTAATGCAGCTGCATTTTGTTGTTTGGGACTAGGTCTCACTATGAAACTCTGAGTGGCCCAGAACTTACTATGTAGACCAGGCTGGGCCTTGAACTTGCATCCTGCCTCCTGAGTACTGGAATTATAGGCATGTGCAACCAGGTTTAGCTTAATACAGCCACTTTTCCCCAATTTTACAGATAAAGAAAATGAGGCCAGACATTCCTGCCTCTAGAGCTGAGTTGAGAGTAGGCAGGAAGGTAGAAGGGCCCTGAGTTCTAGTGGCGTAGAAGGCATGTTACTTTGTACTTCAGAGGTCTTGAACTTGCTATATAATAGTACAGGATAAACTTAACTTTCTGAGTCTCCTGCTTCCACCTCTCCAGTGCTGGGATTACTGGTGTTGATTGCCACGCCTCGTTTATGCAGTGCTGGGAATGGAACCCAGAGTTTCCTGCATGCTAGCTGGGCAAGGTCTTTACCAATTGAGCCACATCCTCAGCCCCTAAGAAGTTCCCAGGTCCCTAAGGAAGTCCCTCCCCCACTTGCTCTGTGCCCTCAAGGCTGTTAAGCAAGTGAAGCAGAGAACAGAACTCAAACATCACCATGGCTAAGTAGGACATTCTCATTCCCTGAAGTCTCCTTCCCACTCAACCCTGAGTCGGTTGGAAACCTTCAGCTTTGAATTACCCAGGGCACTGGAGGCAGCCTGGCCAGCCGAGGAGCAGGCCCCTGGGGTACAAGGGCACTCAATTAAACAAGGGAGTTACTGATTAAGCCCTTGTCAGCCCTGCTTAGGGCTTTTCATGCCCAAGTGGCTGGGCGGCCAAGAGTCCGAGCTGGAGCAGGCTGCGGTATAGAATAAATGTACTTCACGCACCATTAGGCCTGCAGGGAGGGTCAGGGTCGACAGGTGGGTGCAGTTGTAAGATTTGAGGCAGTAGTTCCAAGCAGGCAATAAAAAGTGTTGGGTTTTTTTCTTTTCTTTTTTTTTTTTTTTAAATTTGAAAAGAGGCTTTTCTACCCAGTTGGGTACAACATGTGTGTTTATGTTTATGTATACATTTTAAGTGCTCCTGAGATACATATTATGAAATGCAGGATACATATGCAGAGTTTAGAAAACTTATTTGTACATTTTATTTTATTTTTGATTTGTGTGTGTGTGTGTGTGTGTGTGTGTGAGAGAGAGAGAGAGAGAGAGAGAGAAGGAGAGAGAGAAGGAGAGAGCGTGCATGTGTGGAAATCAGAGGACAACTTGCAGGAATGGGTTCTTCTTCTGTGGGCTCCGGGGATCATGCTCCAGGTTTCAGATGTACCCATGGAGCCATCTTGCTGGCCCACCAAGTTCTTGCACCCAGGTGACTAATATATTATGTTAAAAGCCCCTTTGTGGTTTCATTAGCTTCTACCCTGACCTGTTCGTATGCAGTTTATATTAGTCATTTCCTCTTTTCTCCCTAACTTGCTACTTTGGGGTGGCAGTGCACATTTGCACATGTGCTCACAGGGATTTCCTCTGCTGCTGTCCCTCAGTTGCTGTCTACCTTGATTTTTGATACAGAGTCTCTAAGTGGCTTGGAGCTCACCAAGCTCACCTAGCGGTTGGCTGGCCAGGGACCACAAGGGTCCACCTCTCTCTACCTCCCCAGCCCTGGAATTACAAGTGCACATCATTGCTTTTTTACATGGGTTCTGAGATTGAACTTGGGTTATGCTTGCAAAGCAATCACTTTACCAGCTGAGCCATGTCTCCAGCCCAGCGTGCTACTTTTGTTTTTCATTTGGCCTGTTTTAAAATTTTATGAATGTGGAATAGTGCATTCTTTCACTCTGCTGTATGTTTCTGAGATTCATGCATGCTGAGTTGTGGCAGCTGAATGTCACTGTGCTGCCAAGCATCATGTATGGTTAGGTCCCTGTTGCTTCACACTTCTGCTATGCTGGGACCAGGGAGGGTTGAATTTTCTGTGATCCAGACAGTGCTACTCTCCACATCTTTGTGTCTTGAGGGTACACATACAAAGGAGTTCATCTAGGCACATGCTTTGCAGGAGAATGCATATAATGACTTCTAATAGATCACACCACCAGGGTCTCACTATATAGCCCTGGCTGGCCTGGAACTTGGTGTGTAGACCAGAGTAAAGGCATATGCCACCATGCCCAGCCTATGAACAATTTTTCTAAAGATTTACTCCTGCCACCATTAGAGATACTGGTTTTATTGCTGTACATACTAGCTGTGGTTTTATCATTAGAACATCCAGTTTTACAGATGGGGCCATGGAGTCAGAAAGACTTGCCCAGGGTCACTAGGCAGTCATCACAGTTAGAGCCTGGGAGAGGCAGCTGTAAGTCTGCATCTGTAGATGTGGGGTGTGGGTCCTCCTTTCTGCTTTATCCTTGTAAGCCTCTGGTATACATATCCTATTAATTACTGTATTGGGTACTTTTCTGTTGCTGTGACAAAATACCTGACAAGAATCAATGTGAGGACAGGAAAGGAAATGCTCAAAGTTTGAGGGGATATATTCCATCATGATGGGGGAAAGCATGGCAGCAGGCTACTGGTCATATCATATCCTCTATCAACAAGCAGAGAGTGAACACAAGGTAGGGTCAGCTAAAGAACCATCCTAATGACCTACTTTCCCCAGCAAGCTTCCACATTCTAAAGGTTCCACCACCATCCTAAATGGTGGCACCGGCTGGGGACCAAGTGCTCATACACATGGGCCTGTGTTAATTGTCAAGCCACAATTACTGTTTTGCTTAAAAACATTTTCAGCCATGAGCCCCTTAAACAATGAGGTGCCTTTGCTAAGGGGCATACCCTAGCTTATACTCATTCAAACCTGGATGGCACATGCCAGTTGCTGTACATGGTACCAGCTAATGCAGTCAAGAGGTACAGTGCATGAGCTCGCATTCTGAAATAGCAACACAAAGATGGTATAGTGAATGCATAAACCAGGAGTAGAGTCACTTAGGGTCATTATCAAGTGGCATGAACTGTGTGTCATCATCTGTTCCACACTGGGAGCACAGTAGGATGTTTCTTCCAGCATCTCCACAGACATAAGTAATAGTTGTGCTACCGTGTTACCAGGATGGCAGCATCACTAGGTGATAAGAATTTTTCAGCTCCTTTGTTGCATGGCACCATCATATATGTGATTTTTTATTAACCAAAATATGATTTCATAGAATGTGGTTGTGTTTAGTTTCTTTAAAAAATATGTTTCTGTGGCTGGAGAGATGGCTCAGTGGTTGGGAGTGCAGACTGCTCCTGCAGAGCACCCAGGTTTGATTCCCAGCACCCAGATGGTGGCTGACAATCATCTGTCACTCTAGTTCCAGGGGATCTGATACCCTCTTCTGCCTCTGCAGACATTGTATGACATGGGTGCACATACACACATGCAAGCAATACACTCGTACACATAAAAAAAAATTCTGTTGTAACATAAACTTTCTTTATGAGTTCAGTACAGGAATTCAGGGACCCAGTAAAAATAAATAAATAAATTGTGTGTGTGTGTGTGTGTGTGTGTGTTTTCATGTTTGCTTGCGTGTGTGCACATACCAAAGGAAAACCTTAGATGTCATTCCTCTAGCACAGTCCTCATGCTTACACAGGAAGAGCTTAACTGACCAGACCATCTCCTCAACCCCTCACTAAGCCTTTTAATGCTATGAATATGTCAGTAAGAAGTCTGTGTCTCTCTTTTGCCTTTCAGATGGTTCAGAATTTCCAAGATGAGTCTTGTTTTATCCTCAGCACATTAAAAGGTAAAGTCCCATCCTGCCCTTCCTGTTGACTGAAGTGTGTGGTCTGTATCCCTTGCTCTGGTAGAATGAGGAGTAGGTGGGTGGGGTGTGACTGCATAGGGTCTTTCCTGAAGATGCTGAACTGGGAGCAGCCTTTGGGAGCAAGAAAAACCCAAGCTTCCTGTGACACCTAGCCTTAGTCATGCCAGAACTAGTGAGATTAGCCCCAAAGTGACCTGCAGGGAGATCCCAGGCCAGCAATTTGTTCTCCATGAACTTGGTTTGAATTTTCATAGATTATCTCCAGGAAGCCCAAGCAGGCCCAAGCCCAATATAGTGACAGGCAGAGTGTGCAGGGGTGTGGTCAGTCTGCCATCTCACTGTGCAGACCAGGATGGCCTTGAACTTACAGAGATCCACCTGCCTCTGCATCTGAGTTCTGAGATTAAAGATCTCACTACGCATCCCTCACTGACCTGGAGCTCCCAGAAATCCACCTGCCTCTGCCTTGTATGCCCATGCTCTGCTGAGAGAGCGAGCCTGTGCACCAGGAGTTATGTTTATTCACAAAGGCAGAGAAAGACCTCCTATAATTTTCCTTGGGGCCAGGAGGATAAGAGGGAGAGCTTCATCTCAACAGAACTGGGTCACAGACTACATTGAGACTGCTTCTGTCCTTGTTCTGTGGATCTAGCTGTGTTAGTCATCTTTTGCTTACTGTAACATAATGCCTGTGAAAGTCAACTGAAAGAGAAGGTAGGTTTATTTTGGCTCACAGTTTTATAGGTTTCAGTCCATGGCCTGCAAGATGGTAGACTATGTGGTAAACTGCTTACCTCATGGCAGTTGGCAAGTGAAAGGAGAGGAGAAGAAGACTAAGTCCCAACATCCCCTTCATGGGCTCCCCTCCTTTGACTTCACTACCTCTCACTAGGCTCCAGCTCTTAAAGGTCCTACCATCTCCCACTAGCTCCAGGCTGGGGACCAAGCCTTTCACACATGGCCTCTAGAGAACTTAAGATCCTAAGTGTAGCACTGACAATGGGTCTTTTACAGGCTGTGAGCCATAACTTCCTTGAGAGCCATAGTTTGCTCAAAGCTTCTTTGGGCTTAGAGCTGTGGTAGAGAGGCCAATTATTGTTATTATTTATTATTATTATTATTTTTATTTTTATTTTATGTGTATGAGTGTATTGCCTGCATGTTTGTAAATGTACCCATCATACAATACCCACGGGGGCCAGAAGAGGGTGTTGAATTCCCCTGGAACTGGAGTTTCAAAAGGTTTTTAGCTGCCATGTAGGAGCTGGGAATCAAACCCAGGTCGAGAAGCCCATTATTAAAAAGGAACCAGAGGGTTTAGAAGGATAGCTCAGCTTATAAAGTTCTGGCCATGTGTACATGTATGCATGAGGACTTGAGTTTGATCCCTGGAATCTATGTAAAAAGAAGTTGAGCATTGTGGTGCATACTTGTAATCCCAGCACTTGGGAGGCAGAGATAAGTGAATCCCTGGGGCTTGCTGGTCAACCAGCCTAGACTACTTGGTGAGCACCAAGGCCAGTGAGAGACCCTGTCTCAAAATACAAGGTAGACATCGAGTAAGGAATGGTACCCAAGGTTGTCCTATCGCCTCATATGTATGCACACTCATACACACACAGTAATTATACAAGGTCTATGTAGAAATCTCTGCCTCTGTAGGCATACTCTCTCTTAGGTGTCTTATTTGGGTGTTCTTGCTTGTGTGCTTCTTACTACATGCCTGTTGAAACTCCCAAGTCCCACACGGTACCATCTCTCTTCCCATGGCACATGCCCAGTGTTTCTCTTGCAGCTGAGAGCAATGATGGCTACCACATCATCCTGAAGTGTGGACTCTGAGCAGCAGTGACCCGCACCTGCCCCAGCCCCTTGGACCTCCTGGCTGTAGAAATTACACCACTGACAGCTGCTGTCTCACCTGACAAGCTCAGGCTGGGAGGGATTCTGCCCAGGCCAGGAAAGCTACAGACCACTGTGGACACAAAGTCTGGCATACAGGAAAGCCAGTGGTTCCTCTCCCCTTTACTTTTGACTTTCAGCTTTTGAACAGTTCCTTGTTCTGTTTCCCAAGAAGACTGTGGGGACATCTCTGAAACTCTGTGTCCTGTAGTTGGCGGCTCCTTGGATGTATTGGTCCCTCTTGACCATTCTCTTGCCTTACCCTATGCCTGCATCTCCTTAGGCAGCTGACTTCATGAGCTACCTGACAGGGACACTGTCTCACTGTCCTAGCCTAGTGCTGGCTTCTCTTATCAGTGCCTGGTTAGCACCTCTCTCCTGTTCTTGGTTGAGTCAATGGAACTGCAGTTCTTATGTGCCTTCCACCTCTTTCTCTCATCTTGTTTCTAAGGAGCTGTTGCATTCAAGCCCAGAGAGGTGTGTAGGTCTCTGCATTGACATGATGAGCACTGCAGTGCACTTATACAACCTCTTATGGATGTGGTATTAGTTACTTTTCTGTTGCTGTGATTTTAAAAAAAATCCTCACAAAATAAACTTAATAAAGAAGGGGTTTATTTTGGCTCACAGTTTCAGAAGGATAAAGTATCACAGCAGGGAAGGCACAGCGGCAATTAGGAAAAGCAGGATGGCAGGAGCAGGAAGCTGGCTGATCACATTTCATCCACAATCCACACACAAGAAGCACAGAGAGGGAATAGGAAGTGGAGCCAGCCTATGAACCCTCAAAGCCTTCTCCCAGTGACATAATTTCCTCCATCAAGGCTCTGCTTCCTAAAGGTTCCAAAACCTCCACAAACGGCACCACTAACTGGGGATCAGGTGTCTAAATACATGAGCCTACTGGCAACATTTCTTATCCAAAACACTGCGTTCTGTCCCTGTATGACCGCTCATGGATGCTAATTATGAGACCTCCCTGCTATAGACTGGGAGGTAGGACAGGAATAGAAAAAAGCCTTTTAGACATCCTCATGAGTATAGAGGGATGAGACAAAATGATTCCTCTTGAACTATTTCAACATAATTTTATTTCCTGACGCGTAAGGAAAACTAGAAGGTGAAAATTCCATTCTATCATTTGATCTTGACCATCAATTCTAGACCTTTAGATTAGGATATGGTTCAATGTTAGAGCACTTGCCTGGCATGTTTGAGGCCCTGGGTACCATCCCAGGTACTGCAATAAACAACCAGACCTTTGAGACAGAAAATTTCCATCTTAGATAATCTCTGTTAACCACTGTTGTTTGCCCAGTTTCCTAGGTATGATGTATTTTCTTTGGGAACCTTCATTTAAGTTTTTGTCTTTTTCCATTTGTTTGGGGTATGTTCAGGGTACTTTGCCTCTATTTGGGGTGATTAGATCTTTCTTAACAATGGGGAAACTGAGGATCAGTAAGTTGTGGTAGACTTAAGAATTCATCTTTGTTGTGCCTGGGATCCAGGAATCTGCTGGCTTAGGGCTTGAACTCTTTGCTAATTCAAGTTCTCCCAAGCCATGGTGAATCCTCTGACCAGATCTTTTTGTGGAATATAGTGCTAAGTTAAAAGCCCATTATATCTAGGCAAACTTTGTTTTACAGGCAGAGAAACTGAAGCTTAAAGGGGCAAAGATGCCTGCTTGATATCAATCACATAGTGACAGAGTAATGGGATAAGTTTATCCTATAAACCAGGATATTTCTGAGAGCACAAGGGGTTCTGTTAATACAACTTAGGTTGGGATGGCAGCTGTAGTGTTCGGCTTACAGAGGAAAGCTAGGCTCCTGATTCCTTATCCTTTTTGGGGGGCAGTTTTATTTATACCATAGATTTTGCCCATAATTATAAGTGCACAATTTAGTGGGTTTTAGTAAATTCACAAGAACACCCAACTGTATAAACTTTTCATCACCTACAAAAGAAGGCCCTATACCTGTCCTGCCCCATTTCTCAAGGCCTAGGAAACATTGACTATTCTCTATACAGCTTTATTCATTAATGAATATGTAAGAACACACATATTTGGGCTCTTACAGCACCATCGGCTTCTTTCCCTTGGCATGGTGCCCTCTGGGGTCAGTCCGTGGTGAGCACACATCAGCACTTCTTTCTTTCCTTCATACACCCACCTATTGTAATATCTGGAGGTACAGTGCCTTGCTAAATGGACATGAGGAATGGTTCAGCTCTTTGGATGATGTGGGTAATGCTGCTATGAACATATTAGCACAAGATTTTGTATGGACATGGTTTTTTTTCTTTGGGGAATGTACAGGGGAATAGAGGAGCTAGCAAGATGTTTCTCACAACAGCTGCGCCATTTTGCATTACAGCCAGCAGTGGAGAATGGTTCTAGTTTCTCCTCCTCTTCACCAACGTTTGCTGCTGTGGTCTTTTTTTTCTCTCCTTTCTTCTTCCTTCCATGTAATCCAGTCTGGCCTCAAACTCATTGTATAGCAAAGGATGACCTTGAACTTTACATTCTCCAGCCTCTGCTTACCAAATGCTAAGACTACAAGAGTGTACCACCTCAGCCCATTTATGTGATGCTGGGGATGGAATCGGACTGTTGTGCATGCTAGGTCAGCATGGTCCAGACAGGCCCTGCACTGATCTCTCTTTTTCATTATGATATCCTAGCAGGGATATTCAAGCATTTCTTCATGTGTTAATTGACCATTTGTGTATCTTTGGGAAAACACCTATTCAGATCTTTTGCCCATTTTCAAATTGGGCTTTTTTCATTTTTGAGTTGTATGAGTTGTTGATCAATTCTAGATACAGGTCCTTTATCAGCTGCATGATTTGTGAAGAATTTCTCCCACCCCATGGGTTGTCTTCATTTTCTTAGTGGCATTCTTTGAAGTATAAAAGTTTTTAACATGGCAAGGCTAAGACAGGAGAATCCCAAGTCCAAGGCCAGCCTGGCCCACATAGTGAGATTCTTTTACTAGTTTGGATGATGTGTAAGTTACCTGCCTCCTTTGTTACTGTGCTTTCTGTACAATGCTAAGAAACCTAATGCAAGTTGGGAAGATTTATGTCTGTGTTTTAGTCTAACTTTTTTTTTTTTTTTTTTTTTTTTTTTTTTGAGACAGGGTCTCCCTGTGGCCCCAGCTGGCCTGGAACTGGCTATGTAGACCAGGCTGGGCCTTGATTCACAAAGAGATCCATCTGCTCCTGCCTCCTGAGTGCTGAGATTAAAGGTGTGGGCTCCATACTTAACCTCTAACAGTTTTTCAAGTTTTCAGGATGAACTGTGGCTCATCTTGAGTTAGTTTTTAATGTATGATATATAGTAAGGTAGTAAGGGTCCAGCTTAATCTTTTCACATGTTGAGTATCTGCCTTTTCTTTTTCTTTCTTTTTTTTTTTTTTTTTTTTTTTACGTTAAGGACTGTTCTTTTCCATGGCACTGCCAGGCACCCTTGTACAAGACCTCTGATTCTTGAATCTTTCAGAGCACGATGGAGTCACTGGCAAGCTCATGCTCTTTCCCCCTTCTCAATCTGCATTTGGTTCTCCTATTCTCACAGGCACCTCACTACTCTCCTCCAGCTGTTTCTCTCTCTGTCTCAGCAGTACTAGGTCACATCTCACTGATGTTCTGCCATCTTTCCTGGTGTGTGGCCTAACACCATGTCCTAGTCCTCGAGAAAAGTTAATAACAATCATTAACGTTTTAGATGATGAGGCAACTGAGTCAGAATAATTTGCAGGTTAGTCAATGGGAGAACCAGGACTGGAGCATTAGCCTCTGACTTTCGGCCCTTCATGACATCTGTGGCCACTATACCCAAGTAATGCCGCTACATGGGCCATCTATGAGAACAGAGTAAATTTAACTCTAAGAAATGAGGGACATTGATACTTCTGTTTCTCAATTCCAAAGTGGGTATAATTGGGGAACAGAGATGGCATGCCTCTGGAAAGGGCAGATAGGGTAGGGAGTTCTAAGTCCTGGCTTGGGGGTCTGTATTTGTTACTTTACAAAATAAAGGACAAAGGGTAGTAATAGGGAAGAAGGGTTTCTTCTGGCTCACAGTTTGAAAGCATGATTCATCATGGTCAGGAAATCATGGCAGCAGGAGTGTGAGGCAGCTCACACATTGCATCCACAGTCAGGAAGCAGAGAGGTGAATGCTGGTGCTCAGCTCCTTTTCTCCTTTTTATTCAGTTCACCACCCCAGCCATCCACAGCTAGGGTGGGTCTTCCCACCTTAATTAACTCAATTTAGAAAATCCCTCACATACTTACCTGACAGGGAAGATGCCACAATCGAGATGATTTTCCTAGAGTGAGGTTTATCCATTGCACTCCAGATGTGCTGCCCTTGAGATTCCCCCCTGATATAGGAAACTTCACAGCATAATTTGTGGTAGTCAGGAACTACATTTTCTTAAAAAGCCCCCAGAGGTTTGTTTCCATGGTGATTCAAGTTGACAATCAAGATTAATTATCATGGGGTCTTAGGAAAAGGTCAAACATTGCCCTAGTGACTTCTTACCCAGTCTGCCTGGAGCCCCCTAAGCAGAGCCATTAACCTAGAGAAGGTTTACCGGGAAAAGGTTGGAACCCGAAAGCTCGTCACAAGTTCCAAGTCCAGCATTGCTTCAGGGGCTGGCCCAAGTGGCTGGAGGTCTGAAAATCATTAACGTGGATAGAAGAAATGGAAAGAGCTCTTTAGCTGTTGTCAGTGGAAAGCTGAGGTGAAGGGGGGCATGGGGAATTAAATATGGGCACTGCCTGGGGTACATTGGAGGGACAGGACCAAAAGTCAAGGGTCTGAGGCCCCAGCAAGTGTCTGTCTCCCTTCAGTACCGGGTTGGTACTATAGCCCATTGGTAGAGTGCTTGTCTCTGGGTTCGAGCCTCAGTACTGCCCCTGAAAATAAGTAACATTGACTGGGAGACCTCAAAACCCAGCAGATGCAGTCAGGTGAATCTGAGGGGTAGCAAATCTTTCCTATTGTTTCTCCTTCATCAAAGTCACACACTAGACAGATGACCTTTTCAAATACTTGTCCTGGGTGTTCACAGTGCCACCAGCACGGCTACATGTCAACCCTAGTGAAAGCCTGCTCACCAAGCCCCAAGTCTTCCCACTGCCTACATCTTAGATGTGCGTGTGTGTGTGTGTGTACCCCTCAGAGCAGCATACTGCTGGTTGCCATTTTCTAAACACTGACTACCTTTGCCCCCTGTGAGGCAAGGGATTCCCTTCTGGTGTTGGGAATGCTTCTGGAGGAGGACTCTGCAATGAACTGAATGAACTGAGGGTGATGTTGATTTAGTGAATGTGTGTGACTTAAGCTGAAATGTATTAAAACCTCCCTTTTCAGAGCTAATTGATACTCCTTTGCATGACTGGGCCACATTGGGTACAGACTATTTCCACCTTTTGGTTATTATGAATGATGCTGACCCAAAGTGAGCCCTTCAGGGAGCATGAGTGGTGCCTGGCAGCTAGCAGCTGCCACCTGATCAGCTACCC